ATATATATGTATATGTGCAGCTGAAACAACTAGACTGATACATCCAAAAGTTTTTCAACATTATCACTTTATACTAACATAATCATTATGGCTTTAAGAGAAATATTTTCTGTGGGAGGTCACTACTTAATGTCATTTTTGGCATTTTAACAGCTTACTGTTACCCCTAATTTACACTACTTGCGTTCCGTCTCCGCTCCGCTCCGACCTCCGCAGCAAATACACACCCATTATAACCAGTGAGAGTGTTTACACTGGCTGCGCAGGGCGGCAGTGAGCGGACGGCAATCCGTCAAAATTAGAACAGATCCTATTTTTGACGGACAACGGAGCTGCGCCAGAGTCAATTTTTAAAGATTACATCGCACCAACAGGAAAAGACACGAGCACAACATCCGTATTTTCAAAATAAGACACTATTTGGCGGAATAATTTGTCGGACAAATGTCGAAATTGCGGCTATATTAATAAATATACGAATATACTTCTACACAAATGTATCAATCTGTTTGGGAAGCAGATTGAAACATGTAGCAAGAAGCATATGTGTACTCACACGATACACGTGGATTTTATTTTGAAATCAGAAGTTTCAAAAAGCCGACAGCGAGACAGTTTCAACATAGATACCAAAAGTCTTCATATCGTCGCTTTCAGCAGTGTTTAGAGTTCATCTTTGACAGAATTATTTTTTGCTGTGACTTCCACACTTATCACTGAATTATCGCGCGATCTGCTTCCTGCACGTCTGTTGGACCGGAGCAGGGCGGATAGTAAACTGGACTTGTTACTCAATACCTTTACTTTTAATACTCAACTGTATTTTACATCAGAAATTTATCTTTGATAAGTACAGTCAATGTCACATACTTTAAGACTTTTAATCAAGTAATATTCTTAAAGAAGTCTTTAACTTTTACCATAGTAATTGTATGGTAAGATACTTGTACTTTTACTCAAGTATCACCTTGAAGTTCTTTATACAACGCTGTATTTAAAAAAATGTAAGGAGTAGAAAGTACAGAAAAATGTGTGAAAATGTAAGGTGTAGAAGTAAAAAGTTGTCTGAAAAATAATTACTCAAGTATGTACAGATAGCCAAAAATACTTTACTTTAAAGGGGACATATCAAGTGAAATCCACTTTTTTATCTGTTAAATAAAATTTTGTTGTGGACCTGGAGTCTCTAGGAGGCAGAAAATTGCATTTATTCTCTCCTGGTACTGCAAATATATCTTTATATAGTGTTTGGGTCAGATTTTCCAGCCAGTTCACTTTTCTTTATTTTCTATGATGTTTTTGAACCATTAAGTCAAATAATCTGCGACGGAATTACCATATAAGGTCTGGACCAACTACAGTTTCCTCATCTTCATTCTCCTCTGGTTCTGGGTCAGACTCTTGTTCTGGGTCAGACTCTGGTTCTGGGTCAGACTCTTGTTCTGGGTCAGACTCTGGCTCCACCATGTAAGGCTGGATGAACAAGTCTTCTGTTGTTGACATCTTTTAATTTTCTGCATTGCTAGAAAATGTACCCCCTGCCACCCACCACCCCAATGCCCCAAGCCAGAGGGGGGCGGGGCTTGAAGTGTCATATGGGGAACAGTAACAAAACCAGCTGCTTTGAGGCACACATCAGAAAAGTGGTGAGGAGCTGGTAAAGTTACAATAAGGAGGAATTCAGACCAAAGCGTTGTAGTTCCACTTTATAAAGACCCCAAACTGAAGGATTTAAATGTAAAAAAGAAAGATTTAAAAGCGTGATATGTCTGCTTACCTCTTATGTTGAGTCACCAGCTGGTGTCCATCATGCAGCCTGGTGTGATTCTGCCTCATTCTTCTGATTCTTCTGTTTTGTTCCTTTTACCAAACAGATGTGTTTGTAAACTCATGGCCTCCAAGACTCGTGTTGTGGTCACCAGCAAGCTGGACCATCTGAAACGCGCAGACCGAATCCTCCTGCTACACAACGGAGACTGCTACTTCTACGGCACCTTCTCCGAGCTGCAGGCCAAGCGCCCGGACTTCAGCGCCCTCCTGCTCGGGATCGAGGCGTACGACAACATCACAGCAGAGCGACGCAGCTCTATCATGACGGAGACTCTTCGCAGGGTCTCAGTTGATGAAACTGCTGGGTTTCGTGGAGCCGAGCCCATTCGCCAGTCGTTCCGCCACGCACCTCCTCAGAGCCATGCCGTGGGCGAAGGCTACCCCGAAAAACGCAAACAGTCCCTGATCCTCAACCCTCTCGCGGCTGCCCGCAAGTTCTCATTAATCAGAAACTCCGAGCAGACAAACAACTTTCAGCCCGCGACAATAGAAGAAGGGGTTCACGAACTTTCGGAACGGAGGTTCTCCGTAGTTCCTGAAGACGACCAAGTCGAGGAGGTCCTTCCAAGGAACAACCTGTACCACCACGGCCTGCAGCACCTGAATGGACAGAGGCGCCAGTCCGTCCTGCAGTTCATCACCAACTCTCAGGGCCACGAGCGCAGGGAGCAGATGCAGTCGTCCTTCAGGAAGAAGCTATCCATCACCCCTCAGGGTAACCTGGCGTCTGAGCTGGACATCTACGCCCGCCGCCTGTCCAAGGACAGCGTCTTTGACATCAGTGAGGAAGTAGATGAAGAAGACATGGAGGTATTTTTCTGTCTGTCTGTTAAAGCAACAGGCCAGAGAGACTACCAGGGTGTGTGAACACTTTGTATTCTACTGTTAAAAACTGGTTTGAACGACGAGTCTAGTTAGAGTCAAGAAAACATTTGAATAAACATCACTAACTTTTCAATTCTTCTAACTTCTAAACCTTTAAAGGGGCAATATTATGTGTTTCTCAGGCTTACATTTAAATACTATACCATAATAAAGTATCTTTGTCATCTTTAGTTGTTATTAAAATGTTGTTTTATGTTTAAATAGAAAATAAACTTATCTTCTCATCACTTCCTCTTCTAAACGCCTTGAAATTGGCCTCTGTCTCTTTAAGAACTACCTTCCGCTTCTGTCCCGCCCATTTCAGCACATGCCGGGGGGGTGTTTGCGTACGTGCCATGATGCAGTTAACTTGTCATCAGAAAATACATTTCCTCAAAGGTATTTTGAATCTGAAAAGAGCTTCACTGAGTGAGAAGTAGTGGAGCTCAGCAGACAGTTTGTTTCACTTTCAGTTTCACTCATTGTTACTGCTGAGAGCCTGCAGGAGCCATGGGCGGGGTGTGTGGGGAAGGAGGGGGGACGCTCTGCCATGAGGAAACTTGGCTTAAAGACATGTCCCAAAGGTGTTTCTGGTCCCCACCTGTCGTTTTGCTCCTCAGCATGGCTTCCTAAAATCCCTGCAGGATTTCTCAAACATGCATGAATGAGTCARAGCAAGGCTTTGGGCATGTTTTTATGAGAGTATAACATTATAACATGATATAAAACTCAAAAAAGTTGATTTTGCATGATATTGCCCCTTTAAAGCACCTCTGAGCTGGTTTTACATTTCAGGCCTGCTGGCTGTGTCCATCTTCACTCGACACAGTAAAAACAAAACCTGTTTTCCGACAGGAATGCTTTGCAGACGAACGGGAGAACATCTTTCAAACTACCTCATGGAGCACCTACCTGCGCTACGTTTCCACCAACAGAAGCCTGATCTATGTTCTCATTTTTATTATTATTGTCTTTGTCCTTGAGGTAATCTCACAATCTCTTCAAATTAAAGCTTACTTATATTTTTAATCATTATGAATATAATTAACTGTGATTTTCTCCTGTTCTTTTAACAGGTTGCTGCTTCAGTCGTTGGTATTTTCCTCATCACTTCGTGAGTCTTGTGTTTTATATCTTTTTACAAACTAAATCAGATACTGTAGTCACCCAATTATGTCTGTTCTGCTTTTATTTATTTTAGTTTCTTTTGTCAATTATGAACAATTTTTTGTAATTCATAACACTGTGTTTAATTAATAAATAATATTAGTGTAAACGTTGATCATCAAATTTACATGTGACGTTATGTAACCACAGCTTTCCATTTTTTGTGAAAATGCAGCATGAATTCTTATTGCTGAAAGATTCTTGCACAGAAAATAATTAATTGTAAAAAGAAGCCGCCCAAAAAGCTGAAATTAGCAAAAAAAAAAAAAAAAAAAAAAAAAAAGGAGCAGTAAAGTATCTTAAAAAACAATCTAGCACACAGAAGCAAAAAAAAAAACAAACATGTTTGCTAAATTAGGCAGCTGAAAGAAGTATCTAAAATTATTCTAAAAAGGTGAATTTAGCTGAAAAAGGCCAAAATTAGCTGAAAATAGCTAAAGAGTGCCTTAAATTGCTAAAAACAGCTGAAATTGGCAGGAAGAGGCTAATAGAAGCACAAATATGCACAAATTGCAGAATAAAGCAGAAAAATACAGTAGCTGAAAAACAAAAAAGCTATTAATAGCTAAAATAAGCTAAAGGAAACTTAAATTAGCACAAATACGTAATTAAAAAATGAACAAAAACAAAGACTGTAAAGTGCAGAAAAGGCTAAACTATTTCGAAGGCATTTAAGCTTCATTAATCTAACATGTGCAATATCACTGTCATCACCTATTCTTATATCATTTAATGATATTTGATGGGACCTTTGCATCAGTCATACTGTTTTTAGCTTCAGAGTACACTCACCGGTCACTTTATTAGGTACACCACGCTAGTAACGGGTTGGACCC